AGGCTCCCCTCTCCAGAGGGCACTGTAAACAATAATTATTGGTCAATTTTCATTATTTAAGAACATAGAAACTTAGAACAATAAAAATTTACAGCACAGGCAAGGTCATCTTGCCTGTGCTGGCTCTTTAAAGAGCAATCCTTTCAGTCCCCTTCACCCGCCCTTTCCCCATACGCCTGTAGTTTACAACATAAGGAAAATGGCATCCTCCTGACATGACAGGCACTATATAAACGCTATTTGTTGTTCATATTGTCGTAAGAAAAGGGATGATGGGAACAAGACATTGCCATATGCCTCATCATTTCCAACTCCTGTTATAGACCATGTACTGCACTTCCCACCCACTTAATATTCTTGAGTGAAACTTCTCCATAGATACTCCCACATCTCCATCATTTAATATTTGGCCCTCTACCATCCTTAGACAACATCTCCTCCCTTATTTCCAGGCCACAGCATCACACAAATACTCATGTCTCACAGAATCATCTCAATCTATTTCTATCTCTATAGCCTCCAATCCCAACACCCCAAATAGTTAATTTGAAGGAGTTAATTGATCCAGTAATTACTTTTTGATGTGAGTTTGAACCACTCCTCTGTGGGGAAATGTTTCCTAACTGTTGTCTCATTTGAGTCAATTTTAAACCGAGTTCCTCCAGTTCTGCCTTCAGATCAAGCGCTCTGGGGTGCTACCTTGTGTGAGGGATGCTATATAAATCCAAGTTGTTGTTGTTTAGATTAAACCAAATTGTTTGTCTGTCTTCCTTGTCTGTTTCTCAATATTTTAAAGGTCTGGAGCATAACCTTCCAAACCAAATATGGATTGAGCTCTGTGACCACGTGGATAGCTTGTCCCCTTTTGGAATGCCTAATCTCTCCATCCTGCCTACCAAAGTGATCATTGCTGGTGTGAAATAGATACTGCAAAGGATAACAGGAGTTTCAATTTTGTGTGTGTGCTCATCAAGGTCATGAACAATGGTGCTGGGGAATGGAACTGAACAGTGCCCACTATTAGAATAAAATACGCCTAGATCAAGTATAATATGGACTAGGTATAATATAACACATCTCCTCCACCCAATGGCTTTTGTCTAATCTTAGAACTCCATCCCCCACTTTACAAGGTGTGCATTCTAACATTTCCCAGTGCTAATGTTTATACTCCAGATGAGTCTCCACCCACTCCTTACTCCTCCCCCATATCCTTCTATTCGCTTTCCCCTCATGGGTAGCTAGATCCCTCTTAAATGCATTTTACTAGCTGATTCACCACTTCAGATAGTGAGTTGCACATTCTTACTACCCTCTGCATGAAGCAGTTCCTTTAAATTCTCTTTTAGATCACCTTGTCGCTATATTTTTCTTGTGTTTCCTGGTGGCAGGATCTACAACAAGTGGGAAAAGCTGACTTGTTGCAGAATTTGATATGCTAACTTAACTAACTAAATAAACACACAAACATTAACAATATTTTTTTGAGGGAAATGAGAAATGTTTTTTCCATAAAACTAAGTGATTTATCGTCCTGATTTCAAACTCCTAAATAAAGAAAATAGTATTAAGACAGGTCAAACAAATGAACATTTGCTGATTTTTAATAAAAAATAATTTGTTCTTTTTATTTTGTATTAAAAAAGATCCTATTTTACCTTAGGATTTCAAATATTCATGGTTAAACATAAAAAAATTATGCACTGAATGCAGTATTTAAAATGATTTCTGCAAAGTTGTTCATTATTTTTACTTATAAAAATGAGAACAGTAGTATCCTTGCAACAGAATAAAAAACCTTTTTACATTACAAGCTTTTAAAATAATAATAATCCTTGCATTTGATACAGCGCTTTTCATGTCTTCTCGACGTCTCAAAGCGCTTCACAGAATATACTGTAAAGTGAATTGACCGTATATTTGTGGGCGAAACGCGGCAGCCAATTGCGCACAGCAGTGTCCCACAAACAGTCGTGGATTGAAAATGACCAATTTATTATTGTTTTGTTTTGGAAGGATTATTATTAGGCGTGTGGAGTAGTTCAATAGTTCAATAAAGAGCACTTAACATACAATGATTTTACTTACAGGATCAACTGTACTTGAAAGTATTACATTTTCACAAAGTACAGAAACTTATATGCTACATGATGCAAAATATTCCAACAACTGTAAAGCAGATTCTGGACTGAAAGTGATTGATTTTTTACTTGGTAAATTTACTGACTTTGGTAGAGGTTGATCTATTGGCAATTGGTTTCAGTGATCCTGGGGAGGAGGAGGAAACTAATCCAAGTTCACAATCTCGATCCTATTCAGAGACCTTCTGCTGGAAGATGTACATCTGTGACTATTGGGTAAGGACAGAATCAGGCCCTGTGATGTCCTCCATGGTGTAATAGTCTGTCAACACCAAGGCTCACACATTAATAATGGTCACTTGGGAGAAATACCAAAGAGCACCAGGTAGTCGCCAGTAAATAAAAAATGAGTCAAAAGCATTCAGGGGACGAGATATTTGGAGAAAATAAAATCAATCGTCAACTTGTTGTCTCTCAAACAGTTGTCAACAGTCCCCCTGCTATTGATATATTTTATCTGAGAGAAAGGAGTTTCTTAAGCAAATAATAGAAACATGAAACAATGTAATAGTTTTGCACTAAGTGAATATAGTTGTCCTGTATACAACATGATGGGATTTCAATATAATATGCAAAATCACAAATGAAGATGCAAACTACCATATACCCAGCTCCCTGTCTTTCAGCTAGTAAATGACAACAACTTGCAACTTAAAAAACACACAATACAGGTATCTAATAAACTATCATGGACACAAGCTCATAGTCATTCAAACCTCTGGCAAGAAATCAGCAGAATTCAGAACACAATAAAATATACAAATGAGGATGCAAATAACAATACGCAATACTCAGCTCCCAGCCCTTCAACAATGAAACATTCCAGCTATCATACATGAATGAAAAAGCTTCAAATAATAATGTTTACTTGTAAAATTCTGTAATGCCTTTCTTTGGCCTGTAATCCCACTGGACAGTGTGTAGACTTTTGTTCGAAGACTTCTGTGATCAGTGAACAGTGCAAGACACACAGTTCATTCCAATCTCTTGCTGCATATGTGTTCGTTTTTGTGACAATTTGATTTGGTCATTAGACCACATTATACTAACAACCCCTTGTTTTTGTAATGCCATTCCCTGGGCCATGGGAACCCTGAAGTTGCAATATGTATCACTGCTTCATGCTGAGTTAGGTGATCTGTCCATTGGAGATAAATATTACAAGGGAAACTGCATTAAAAGGCTAATGGGACTTGAAGTAGAAAAGTCTCCAGGTCTGGTATGTATCTCAGAATATTGGTCAGGGAAGAGGCAAAAGATCCATTGGGCACTATCCAAAGATGTTTGGAAATAATAACAATAACAATCCTTGTATTTGATACAGCCCCCTATCACATCTTTGAGACGTCTCAAAGCGCTTCACAGAATATACTGTAAAGTGAATTGAGTATAGTTTCTGGGTAAAACACAACAGCCAATTGCTTACAGATATTGGGTCAAAGGGTTGGAGTGTATGAAATGTTACATCCCTGGTCAAAAGTGGGGAAAGAGGTAAAACTCATTTGGGGAATTGTAAGGCAATTTACTGTGTGTTAGTTTTGGATAAACTACTAAGGTATGGACACAATGAGAGCTGAGAACTCATAATGAAGAGTTCAAAAACTTTGCGCTCATTTTCAAAGCCCTCCACAGGTTTTCTCCTCCCTACCTCTGTGACCTGCTAACCCATACAAGCCTGTCCGCTCCCTCTCCTCGACGGACTCTGGCCTGCTCCAGTCCCCCGCCTTTTAGAACTCCATCTCACAGTCCCTTTTCCTCAACCCATCCCTTGCCCCGTTTAAGCCCTGTCTCAAGGCATTCAGTCATGCTCCTAAATGTAAATTGTTGTTGTTGGGTTAGGAGAGGGGCTTAGGAAAGGTTGATTGTGGAAGAAAGGAAGCCAGATAGGGTTTAATAGGAGAGCATTGGAGATGAACGGATGAATATTGAGGAGTTTTTACTCCATCACCAGTGACAGGAACAGGAAGTATTTATGCAGAATTTGCCCCCAGGAAATAGAGTTAGAGCGTGGAAAAAGTGGGACTGATGGGCTAAATGGACATTTTCTATTTCATGTTTTATATTCTGGAGGTAAAGGCTTAGAATTGCATTCTAATATGATCCCTTAGATGCGCTCATAATAATAATAATCTTTGCATTTGATATGGTGCCTTTCACCTTGGAAGGGCACCATATCAAAGAACACACTGTAAAGCAGAACAACTGTGCTCTTTGCAGACAAACACAGCAGTCAATTTGCAGACATCAATCTCGCACAAACTGCTACAAAGTGAATGACCAATTTTATTTGGGGGATTGTTGGCCAGGACAGTGGTAGAAATCCATTCTCTTTTCAAATGGTGTCATTAAATGTTTAATATCCATTTGAACAGGCAGAGTGGACATCGGTTTAAACTCTCATCTGAAGGAAACATTTCCAACATTGTAGCCTCCCCCCAACAGTGCACTGGAGTGTAAGCTTAGACTCTGTGTGTTCAAAGTCCCGATACGGGGTTTGAACCCATTACTTTCTCACTCAGAGGCAAGAGTGTTACCAGTTGAGCCAGACTGACACATTACATGAAAGCTTTTCGTTATGAGATACATGTTTCACAGAAACACCGTTAAACATTTTCCTATTTTTGTAGTGAAATAATGTGCATATGGATTGAATAGAGAAGTACTAATAAAGTCTGTAACATTATCAGTGCCATGGGACCCTCATTATTATTCTACTGTTCTCCTACAGCATAAACAAAAAATATCTGCTATCACATAACCTATATTAAGACTAAAAAGTAATTTGAATCTGGAAATGCAGACAGCAGAATAACTGTTTGGTCACATATAAAAACAGCCAACAATATATTGGGCTCCCTTCACAGCCCAGCTAAGAATCAATATGCTGATCGCACCTACCACATATTATTTGTATCACTGTCAATTGTTGTTTCTAACCATACTTCCAAAGTACATTCATAATTCATAATTTCAAGGAAGCCTTAAAGCCACTGTTCATTTGCTCTGCTCTTCATTTGATAAATGTTCAGATTTTCCCTCTTCCTGCACAGGAATGATTGCATTTTCTTCACATTCCCTTGAGTTTACTTGTTTTATCGTTTTGCTGGTAAATCTTGGACTTTCTTTCCATCTTTCTCTGCTGGCTTGCCCCTCTTGCATGGGGACATTCACTGGTTCTTTACAATGTTGTTCTTGCACAGGAAATCCTAAGTTTGTGTTTAAGTCACACTCACTCTGTGCATTCTCATCTTCGACAGGAAACCCTTCCTTTCCTTCAGAGCTGTCTGTGCTGTCTTCTTCCATGGAGTAGGTTGCACTAAAATTTTTATCTCCCCTTCTATCTGGCTCAGCAGCATGATTTACTTTGACAGTTACATTGAAAATAACAGACCCATTGACGCTCAGCACTGACTTCAGTACACTTGTAGTATATATTGTCTTGCTACCAGAATGAGAGCCTGAGGAATGGATAAAAAAGTTCCAATTAATCACCTCTATTTATTGCTCAGGTACCGTGAAGTTTTGCAGCATGGATTTTGCCTACAAAACAGACAGTCACTACACATAACAGTAAAAATCCCGTGAAGCATTTTAGGATGTCCTCCCCAGGTGAAAGACCTTGTATCAAATGCAAGGATGATTTATTTATTATTTATTTGTGATGGGTGTGCGTATTTATGTCTAAAGAGCCTACAGTGCCCATCGACAATGGTGAAGGAATTTAATCATTTCAGCAGTGTTCAAAAGCTGCAATGCTGGATATCATTCCTATTGGAATTTATTGCCTGCATTTAATGAATTTACTTCAATGCAAATACTCTAAAATATATTGTCAGGACAAATACTTTTTTTTGTGACATTTGAAAAACAACAGCACAAGAACGACTGACTGGTCTGTGAGCAATGGGAAAGAAGGTCTACAGAACCAGCTGAATGGAGGCTATAAATTCAATGTGCAAATTCAATTCAATGTTAAAGGCAATGCATTGCCCTTTACATCAGGAGGCTTGTTCAAAATGCTTTATATGGCTGACTGGGAACTCTATGTGGGGGAGAGGGGGAAGCTGAGTGGTGGGGGAGGGTAAAAGGTAGCCAAAAGCATGGTCGATGAGATAGGTAAGGTGGATTTCAAAGGTGGAGAGGAAGGGTAAAAGGCAAAAGGCCCCCAGCCCCCAGTATGGAGTTTCAGAGAACAGGAGTAGAGTGACTGAAGGCTCTTCTAATAATCGGAGGTGGTCCGGGTGGGCACACAAAGCAGATCAGCGTTTGGTGAGAAGAGGGGAGGCCGGGCAATAGGGTAGCTGGGGGGACAAGTCTAAGGCTTGGAGGGATTTGAACATGAGGAGGAGGATTTGAATTTGATCTCCTGGAGGATGAGGACCCAATGGGGTGGGGGTGAGGGAGATGGGCTCACTGAGCATTGTGTGGGAGAAGACATGAGATAAAGAGTTCAGGATGGTCTACTGCTTGTGTAGTGAGGAGTTGAAGAGACCGTCCAGCAGTGTGCTAAGAGCCTGAACGTGATGAAGTTGTGGATGAGGGTCTTGGCAGCCTGGGGGAGGAGGTTATGGTTGAGGCAGGCGATGTTGCGGAGGTGAGGAAAAGCCAAGCGGATGAGAGAGCAGATGGAGGGTTTGAAGTATAGGTGGTGATTGAAATTGATATGGTCAGTGCCTGACGTAAGAAGGCTTTGATGGGAGCGGGAAAGTTAGAACTCATCCTGAAGCATGAATAAGAAGTACTATAGGTATAAGATTTAACTAACCAACTACTCACCAGAATTAGTTGTGTTTCCAGGTTTGTTACAGTCTTCATTTTCTCGGTGTGTGTTGCCAGTGCCAGCATTGTAAGATGTGTTCCCATTAGTACTTTCAAATGTCTGAGAAGATCTGGAAAAGTCACTTTGATCACCCATATGACAGTCACACTTTGAGACATGATCTTTGTCGGATTCTTTGGAAGCCAATAGAAATGCTGCTGGCATATTCAGGTGCTGACCACTGGAATCAATTTGCTCTCGAGTATCTCTGAAGCGGGCTGTGCTAACACGGTTTGCACTTTCTTGTGTACATGGATTACTATGAACGGTCTGCTCTGTCCCACTTCCTGAAGATTGCAAAGGTTCGGCTGCAATTACTGCACATGGATCTTCATGAAGAGCTGGATCAGAGCTCTTCCCTTCATATCTATTGTAATAATCACAGCCAGGATTCATTCCCAGAGGCCTTGAGGATAACACGTTATTAGTCTGAGTGATTTCTCCAGAGCAAGAGTCCAAAGAGTAGGTACAGTCTGGAACTTCTGTATACATATAGAAAATGTCTTTGTCAACCTTCTTCATCAGTTTTCCTTGGGCTAGAAACAGCTCACTCTCAGGGTCCTGGTTAGACTCACCATTTGCCAGTTTATTGACCAATGGGTCAATAGGAAAACTTCCCTTAAAAAGCAACACAAAACTATTTTTAGATGTACATCAAGCTTAAAGTGAACTGAAGAAATGCACGATTCGCAAGATTACAAGATAGATCCGGACAAAAATGGGCCTTCAGAGCATCTCATCCTCCCAATATACCTACTTATTTACTTGGAGTGATCTCTCCAGATTACTTTCTGCTATCACAGCATCAAGCTGTTCTTTAAATGTCCAGTATCCTGGCCTCAATTACACTTCCTAGCAACTTGTTCTAGTTGTTTTCCCTCTGGGTAAAGAAATCTTTACTGGTTCTGCCCTGGAGTTGCACTTTGTAAATAGCCCCAAACCTGTGTCCTTTTGTTCTGCTGTCTTGGCACATTCTAAATGTGAGTGAATTTGAGTGTGTGAGTGAATGTTATGCATGCCTATAAGACAGCAATGAGTCAATGCGGACAGCAATCCAATTATAATGTGATTGTCTGAGCCCAATACCTCAGACCCTGTGTATAAGGAAACACAGAAAAATAGCTCAATTCTGGGTCGTTGGCTGAAACTACATCAGTTGTGCTTTAACAAAAACAACTTACATTTATATAGCTCCCTTCACACGGGGTAGTGCCTCGGAGAGCTGGACAGTGGCGGAGTATGACGACGAGCCGGGGGAAAGGGAGGTGGGAGATGACCATAAGCATGATCAAAAAGGAAGGTCTTTAGGCAGGATTCAAAGGTGGGGAGGGAGGAGGCAAGGAGGAGGGATAGAGGGAGAGAGTTTCGGGGGTAGTGGCTAAAGGCATGGCCACTGATGGTGAAGTGGAGGGGTCGAGGGATAAACAAGAGGCTGGAGCCAGCCGAGCGGAGGCAGCGGGTGGTGGAGCGGGGGATAAGCAGGTCGGATAGGTAGGGAGATGTGAGGGCATGAAGGGATTTGAAAACAAGTGAATGGATGTTGAAATCGATCCGTTTGCTAATTGGGAGCCAGTGGAGCCTGGCAAGGACTGGCAAGATGGAGGTATGGAGTTTTGTGCGGGTGAGGATCCGGACGGCGGAGTTTTGAATTAATTGTATGTTGTGTATGGTGGAGCGGGGGAGCCTAGCGAGGAGGGCATTGGAATAGTCCAGCCGGGAAGTGACGAAGGTGTGGACAAAGGTTTCTGCTTCCCAAGCATAATGGGCGCTCTGAGACTCTACCCTGCGCGAGGGGCGCTATATAAGAGCAAGTTGTTGTTGTTGTTGTAGTGGGCGCCCTGTCACCAGCTGGTGTTAGAATGACCCAGAAATCGCCCAATTTGTAAGTGTGGGAGACCAGCTAAGCGGTGCTGGATGCTGTGTATACAGTATTTCCGGTTAGTGAGGACCGACAGTGGACTTGCACTCTAAACAAACCAGTGCTCAACTGGGGTTCCTTTCAACAGGACCTCCCTGTATTTTGCACAACCAAGGCTTTAACTTACTCACTGTCTCAGATTGTCTTAAAATGTAAAACCATGCAAATTATGTTCATACTTAAATTTTGGCAGCTAGTTTCTCCACGGCCCTTAAACATGTAGAATAGATTTCTAAATGTAGAATAAATTTCTAAGTTTCTGAATTTAAGAACTTTCCAAAATTTTAAACTAACAAAAATAATCTTAAGTCTACGACTGTGAAGAATTTAGGGCCATTGAGGCTTAAACGGCTAAAATTGGCTGGATTCCTGGATTCAAGGAACCAAAAGCTCTTCGCTAAAGAAGTAATACCTGGTTTCTCTTTTTTCTACTTATTCTGCACTTTTTCCCACTACTTCAGATATAGCTTCCAGAACCCATAAACTCATTTACTAATTGTTGAACAAAGCAAGCACTTTCCACCCAGCACAAAATCTATTTTGCTGATGAGACACGTACATGTGCTGAGCTCCTGATTTAAACCACATCAATGCAGAAAGATGATGGACAAAAGGAAGTCACTTAGGGCAAATTGTAAAAGCACATTTAGTACCAGATTGGTGACAGCACAAGTGGCTGCAGACACCCATCACCTGAATCAAGCATGTTTTTCTTGGCTGTTCCGGGAACTTAACCGACCCCAAACTTCTTTGTTAAAAAAATACATTGTTTTGAGCATTCACTTTGTTTTGACTGACTTCTGTTTGATCTTTTTTTGGATCATACAGATATTGGACACATGCAGAAACCAACAGCCTAGTTTTGTTTAAAACATACCTGGTTTCTCTTTTTCCCACTAATTCTGCCACATGAAACAGCAAATCGTAGTTGAACACAATCTAGAGAAAAGAACAGAGTGGAACAGATGGATCAGATAGAGCTGGTCATAACTCTATACAGCTCTGTTAATCCTCTACACTACTACTGTACTTCAGCTGCTAAGATGGACTGGGAAGCGTTTTTTTCCATTGGCTAGTTTTAAAAATAATATTATTCCTCCTTTCCAAATGGACGGTGGGAGCTATTAGAAAGAAGATATGTGCAAACTTTCAAAGTTAAAATCACACGGAAATATTTGGATGATTTAACAGTGCAATAATCTCATTAAACCATAGAAATAATACCCCTGAACTACAGCTACTATTGCAATACTTCAAATAAACCATCAACACCAGTACAATAACCCCCCAAAACATCATTACCAATAAACCATTTTACCTGTGCGATGACCTCCATTAAACCATCACAATTACCGCATTAACTCAAATAAACCTCTGTTACCAGTGCAATAACCCAATAAACAAACTAACTAGTGGGTATGAATGCTCATTACTTTTGGTGCCAAGGAATGCAAAAATACACAAGTGAATGACGGTAATCGACACTGCATGGTTGTGCTAATAGCACTTGAAATTCATAAAATACTTCCCTGGTGCAGTGAAATGGAGGTCATACACTAGTGAAAGTCTCTGAGGGCTTTGTACTCATGATAGGATGTAGGTTACTTACCACCATCAATGGAGCTACACTAGCTACAATTTTTAATATTATTTTTACTATTTCTTACTTTGTATGCAAAATCTAAATGAAACAAATACCTGTTAGAATCGTTTTAATCTTTCCATGGGATATTATGGCAAAGACGAGGGCTACAATAATTCCAAATCCACATGCAAGGCCCATAGTAACTCCCCATATCAATTCATCTACAATGCAAAGAACAATGATAAAGTAAAGTACAGATTTTTTCTCTCAGTTATCACAGTAATTTCTCCTCATCTGCATGCTGGGTAGATGGGCTGCTCTGTTTGATTCCTTAACAACACTCACTTCACTTCTAAGTGATCTGATTTTGTAAAGTGTTCCGAGGCCTTTCTTTGATGTGAAAGGCAAAATATAAACATAAATTGCTCCCCACAGTTTAAGGAATCAAAGTGATTTTTTTAACACGAAATAGGCCGATTGAGCCCGACCACTTAAACTTGTTTTGATAGTAGATTATTGGATAGGCGCTGAGCAGAATGATGACAGAGGCTTCAGTTGGAGGGAGAATGCAACATGACTGTGGCAAATGGAAGCAGAAAACTCAGATTTAATTAGTTTGGGAATATTTTAATTAAAAAAATCAAGCTAAACAAGTGCATAAAATCATGGGATATCAGCATTTCGTGCACAAAATATACAGTCAATTCACTTTACAGTATATTCTGTGAAGCGCTTTGAGACGTCTTGAAGACGTGATAAATCACCATATCAAATGCAAGGACTATTATTATTATTTATTTATGTAACAAAATATTACAAAATTATTTTGTTTTACAAATATAATGTTCTTATATAAAATGTAATTATTCATTACATAATTCCATTTTATTTATGTAATAAAATATCACATAAATTTGCAATATCATGTTTTACAAATATAATACTGAATTTTAGTACATACGTTTTACTTATGCATTTAAAATATCTGCTATATTTCAGATAAATGACATATTCATTTATCTGTGATAAAACAGGACATTGTTTTATTACAGAGAAATGAGGACAACAAAACTCTAAATAAATAGGGCAAGTCACAGATTTCCAAATTGTTGGTTTGGAATCGGACCATTAAACTTCATACCTGCAGTACTTGTCCTGGGAAGGGTAGTTGCATCACCATTGGTGCACACTACATCTGACGTAGTGTTTCCAGTCACCTTCTCGATCAGTCCCAATGCTGTACAACTACGGAATATTAAAGATATTAATGATCATTAATATAGATCAAATGATCCCATTTGCCAGTGACATCAAGATATTAACCAAATGCATTGTTAGAGGTGTTGTCCTTCAGATGAGCTGTTAAACCAAGGCTGTTTGGGTAGATGTTAAAGATCCCATGGCCCCATTCTAAAAAGAAGGAAGTTTCTCCCTGTGTTTTGGCCAACAATTCCCCAAATAAAACTAATAGCTCTCTTCATTGCTTGTTGTGGGATATTGCCATGAATAATAGTAATTACATTTCATGGGATTTGTATTTTATGGACCAATGCCAAATTGTTAATCTCAGCCTCTGCATCAAATAATACTGAGGTGCCAAGCAAAGGTCAGCAGTCCATCAACTTTGGGTGTGGTGGTGGCAATCGGGGGAAGTCCCGTCCTTTAAATGAGACATCAAACCATCTGCCTGATCAAGTGGACATTTGAGATCCCACGGCACGATTCAAAATGAGGAGCTTCTCCCTATTTCCTGCTCAACGACCCTCCACCAAATAAAATTAATCATTCACTTCATAGCTGTTTGTGGGATACTGCTGTGTGCAAATTGGCTGGCGTGTTCACCTACAGATACACAGTTACCATACTTTATAATGGAGCATTTTGAGATGTCCTCCTGATGAGAAAGGCTCTGGAGCAAATGCATGGATTATTATTAGTAGTAAAAGTAGAAACCTTGACTGCAGCTGGTGCACAAGGGACCAAAAAAGAATAAAGAACACAGAGAAGTAACAATTTAAACACGCTGGGTATGATTTGCACTCGACTTGCTCTCTTTATTCTGTTCAAAGCTCTCGAACATCTCAGAATTTTTATAAGGTCATTAAAAAGGACTATTGCTTGACCATTTCTTGACAACATCCAATTTCAGAGTGCTAAGGTTCATTAGCACAGAACACCGAAACTGAACCCTTGTGTTTCACTTTCCATTTCCGATTCAAGGCTGGAGAAATCACAACTAATATTATTCTGGGAGTATAAACATAGCATCAGTGAAATGTGGATGTTCATCTTTTGAACTGTGCTCAAGATCTATTCCCCCAGCCCTGGCAGGTACAATCCAATCAAAACACCCCTACAAAAAAATGAAACTCGTTGCGCAAACATATCATGATCATACGTTGGTGTCTAGCGCTGTGGAAATCAATTGCTACATACAGAGTTTACATCACATTTCTGCTAATAATAGTTTGCTGCAATAACTTGAGGACATTTCCCAATGGATAGGGTTCATTCTAAAAATCACCGACACAGCGGTTTAGGCAATTGACAATATATCATAGAAAAAGATTATGCAGAGGATCATTCTTGACAGATCAGTCACGAGTTTCACTAGCTGTCTGTTTTACAAGTGGGCAAAAAGTGGATCAAAATTAAGAAACAGGTATGGAACTTGAACAGTATTATCAACTTAAGTTTTCAGACAGGCAGGTACTGAACAACATGCTGAGAACAAACCTCTTCTCCATAAACTGACGTAACCCACTGAAGAAGAAATAATCAGGTAGATGGAGGAAATAATAATAATCCTTGCCTTTGATATAGCGCCTTATCACATCTTCGAGATGTCTCAAAGCGCTTCACAGAATGTAATGTAAAGTGAATTGACTGTATATTTTGTGGGCGCTAACGCAGCAGCCAATTGCGCACAACAGTGACATACAAACAGTAGTGGATTGAGCGACCAAATTATTTATTAATTTATTTCTGTAGGAATTATACCCCCGGAAAAGTGATCCGCCAATTGACTAACAACCGGGTTCCTACTTACTGCTAAGTAAACAGAGGAGTGTGGAGTAAGGAAAGTTTCCCAATGTTTCTCCCTGCCGGGAATTGAACCCAGGTCCTCTTGAGGCAAGTGCTCTAAACACTAAGCTACAGAAATCCTCCCAACGTGAAGGGCTACCTTGATGTAAAGTTGTATCGTATTGTAAATCTAAAGACTGCATCTGAGCAATGGACGTAATATTTGAGGTAATGCAGGATGTTGGAAAATTCTTAGATACAATCTTAAGTTAGAAGCTGTTATTCTGCATTTCTTTTTGGGCATGTTAGGTATTTCAAATCTTTGGCAGATTAGGAATTTCTACCCATTTCCACTTTAAACCTTCCCCCACATCCGAGACCAGTGCTAACTATTAGGACATTGCTGTGCACAAATTAGCTGCCTCGTTCGCCCACAAAATACACAGTTACGCCACTTTACAGAAAAATCCTGAGAAGCGGTTTGAGACATCTCGATGATAAGGCGCTATGTCAATTGCAAGGATTATTATTATTGACTGCTCTTGGCTCAAAATGTTTTTGGGGGGTGATGTCATGATTATCACTGATAATGTATAGACCATAATCTTGAACCCCATCCATGAGATAAGTGGGTTATTCAAATGCAGCAAAACTCCTGCAAGCCTTACCCCTTTGAATATTGTGCTGTAACAGTATGTGCAAACTTACTTGGTCCACCGTTTGCACTTTTCTGTCAAAGAGATCTGTTCTGAAAAGTGCATTGAAGGACATCGCTCACACACTGTGTCAGATTCCCTGTTTGCTGTGGAACACAAGAAAATGATCAGAAATTAGAATGCTTGCAGAACAAGGAAACTAGACATAGACAGGGACAAGAGAACATGCACAGTGAAGGAATAAAACAGACGTCTTTACAGCTCCTTACAATTAATAGTCGAATCTTCAATAATGTAGCAAGGGGAAGAAAAAGACCCATTGTCATCCACCCTATTCGATATATTCATCACTGACGTGTTGCATGGCATCAAAGGGGATGGACTTGGTATTCCAGGGGCTTTCTGACAGGATTGAGGTGCTTCTGTTTGCCGATAATAATGTGTTGCTAGCAAACTCACCGAGAGATCTTGTGCATTGCACTGATCATCTTCAACGCTGAACCACCCAGTGGGACATGATGGTGGTGCACCTCAGTGCGGAATCATGGTTCAGCAGGGCTTAAGAGAAGCCAACAAGGGCATTAATTGGAAAATACAAGGGGCATCTGTCCCAACTGTTGATTCTTATGGATTCTTAATGGACACCTCCTGATGTGAAAGGTGCCTTATTAAACATGAGGATTATTATTTCATTGTAGTCTTGTGTGTAGTTGCTGCAGTGTTGCATTGACAATTAATTTGTTTTTACTTTATGTTATTATTAACAATAATTAGCATTTATAGATTATATATTTCATGTAAAATAAACTTCTCAAAGTCTCAAATTTATTAAATAAAGTTGATTAGAAATAAAAAGTGAAAGTTGTTATGTAGTTGTTTTGTGGTAGCTTATCGGCCCCAAGGACGTCCTGTAAACAACAAAGAGATAAAATGTGGAGTCCTGCAGCTCAGTGGTTAGAGCACTCGCTTTGCAAGTGAGAGACCTGGGTTCAATTCCAGGCAGAGGGCGAAACCTTGGGCAAGTTTCCTTACTCCACACGCCTAATAATAATCCCTCCAAAAAATACAATAATAAATTGGTCATTTTTCAATGCATGACTGTTTGTGGGACATTGCTGTGCGCAATTGGCTGCCGCGTTCGCCCACAAATATACAGTCAATTCACTTTGCAGTATATTCTGTGAAGTGCTTTGGGATGTCTAGAAGACGTGAAAAGCACTACATATCAAATGCAAGGATTATTTTATTATTTATAAAGAGCAAATTAATTTAAAATTATGAATGAATGTGGGTATAAAGGGAATACCAGCCTGGTAAATCTAACATTTCACTACAATTGAGCACCAGATTACTTCAGGTCAACGCTATTCCAATAGCATTACCTCACCTTTTTCTGTGACTCCATAACCTGGGTGGCAGGGATTATCTTTCAGGCAATATTCACAGTCCTGAGAGCAGTGTGATCCAGCTGTGCATACACACTGAGTGGCCTTGACTGTGTCTCCTTTTTGTAGGACTTCAAATCCTTTAACTGTAAAGGCAAGGAAGCACTGTAACTCAACAACTAGTGACAGCTACTGTAATCCAACAGCACAGAGCTATAATTGTATTACTGTGTAAAATCGAATCAATTTCACTGCAAAGGGAAGGAAATAAATACTCTACCTCAATAACAACCAGTAATCATATAATCTACTTAAAACAGCATGGTGTAGCTATGTAATAATGTACAGTTCAAACACAGAACCACAGATGTAAAAATAAACATGCCATTAAACAGTAAAGACTCTTACAACCAGACTTTGCATTTTCTAAACAAAATGGAAATTTCATCTCTTTTATGACTTAGTGTTGCAGATGTTGTAAACTGTGAAGTTTTTCAGGCCTGTGAGTGATTGCAGTTTTGTACATATGATAACATTTCCTTCATGGAAAAAGACTGAACTTGAATTCTTTCAGTTTTAAGTGATAAATTCCAAGCTTTCCAAAATGAGAAAACGTGTGACATCTTTGGAAAATGTTGGACTAGTGACAAAATTACAGCAGTGTCATATCATGGCTGAGATTAACTTTCTAACAGTTATGAAACTCAATCTTAATGCTTCTCTAAAGGATTTCTTGGTAAAATCAAACTTATCAATAAATTCAAAACCTTTTTTTAAAAAATAAATTTGGATTACTTTCACATTTTTCTGAATGTGAATATGTTTTCCAATATTTTGGATGGTTAAATTTAGTGAAGTTAACAAAAAAAGCGGTAAAAGCTAATTACACTCATGCAGATCTATTTTCTAACCCTGTGTTCGTCCTTTTCTAAAGCACTTTGAAAGAGAAATTTTGATTGAATCAATAGTGTTCGAATCAGTGAACTCTGACCACTTTAATTTTGTAAATGTTGGTCACAAGCTTGAACCAGATAAATAAATACTAACTTTCGTCACACTCGATCTGTTTGAAACATTCTGCCTGAGAATTACTGTGCTCCAGGTACTCGCCTTCCCCACATGGTTTGCAGTCTACGGGTTTACTTTCAGTGCATGGAGAGGAGAGATAAAAGCCTGAAAGAATAGAGTTCAGGTTAACATTTGCACAACTCCTCTGGCAAAGTGCTCCAGCAACAATATAGAAGTGCAGACATCTACATTGGATAAAAGTGTGTCCAATGGTCCAGGGTTTACTTAAACAATCAGCACCTCGTCAAGCAATTCCAGGTTTAAGCAAACTCACAGAACCTCTAAGAGGAAGATTTTAATTCCTGGAGCTTCTCAAATGCAGCAACTCACCCAAAAGTACAAACAATAATTAGTTCTCACTTCATGTGCAAATTTTCTGGGGAAAACAACTTTTTAAACTTAAACTTCACCCACAAAATACACAGTCACTGCATTTTACAACATATTTTGTGAAGTGCTTTGAGATGTCTTCCCAATGTAAATATAAACTAATGTAAAGTTTATTATTATGATGTGAAACCCATATTATCATTTTAATGATTTCTGTGTGATACTTGTCTTCAATTGTAATCATTAATGTTTTTACAAAGTTTTTGTAGGAAAAGCAAACTTATGCTTATTTTCACAAATTTCATGACCTTCATGTTTTAATGAAATGTATTTTTCATATGTTACCTGTGTGTAAATACTGCACATTCAACATACGTGATTGTTGAGGCAAATGTGCCATTGGATTTTACTCATTTTGCTTTAGTGATATAAAATAGCGAGAAAGGAATATGAAGGGCAAGTTTAGGGTAGGCACCAGGAAGTATATATTTGCCCAGAGTGTAATTAATAGGACGAACAGATCACCAGGTGAAGTGGTTGAACCATTAAACTGGACTCATGGGGAAACATAGAGGAACAAACCCTGGACCAATGAGATCAAATAGATTGAAAGAATTCATAGTTGCAGATATCAGATGAAAGCTGACTTTCTACAGATAGTTGGATAAACCCCACCAGCACAGCACTTCACCTCGGCTCTCGTCATCCTCTTCAGAATTAGGCACGCAGAGTGCAAGAGTGCACTCATTCCATTTCAGACAAAAGGAGACCACATATATGTGGAACTCTCAATAGTTTGGTGACTCTTAGGCATGGAGGTGGATTTCTGTGGGTGTCAGACACCCGGCTAATACACAAAACACAACCAAGAAACCTATACATTTTGCAAAACTGAAGAATAAAGTGGTGCACCTGGTTGACACTCATTGCAGCAACTCTTCATCTTGTCATAGTGCTGGTCACAGCTGGAATTCAAAAGCTGTGAATTTGACTGCAAAACATAAATCTATGTTAGAAATTCGATTTTGTTTCACATAATAAGAGCACTTTAGTGAAATTAAATGTGCTCCTTTACATTCTAAAATGCACGCATAATCTGACCAACATCAATATCAATATTATTTTGGTCACTCAATCCATGACTATTTATGGAACACTGCTATGCACAATTGGCTGTCACAGTTCACCCACAAAATATCCCCTCAATTCACTTTACAGTATATTCTTTGAAGCACTTTGAGTCGTCTCAAAGACGTGATATAAAGAGCTATATCAAATGCAAGAATTATTATTATTATTATTAATTATTGGCGATTCAGGCACTGGTGAGTTAGGAGGTCCAGGAATGTGAGTGCTTTGCAGTTCATTAACCAAACTTACACTCTAACGTTAAATAGCTGCAGCACTCTATAGTTTAGAATTCACAACAATTCCACTGCATTGCTTTTAAACAAGTATTTACTTTCTTGAAAACCTCAATTCCCATCACCTTGCTGGTCTATTATTTTGAAGGCAATGGTCTTATTGTCAATAAACTGGCTGCCCGCAAATCAAAATAATAATAATCCTTGCATCTGATATAGCGCCTTATGACAGTGTGACGATATCTCAAAGTGCTTCATTGGATTTCACTGTGAAGTGTAGTGACTTTTGGGACGTCCTCCCGACGTGAAAGGCGCTCTATACATGTAATTTTGTTGTTGTTGTTGTTTTGATATTTCTAGAACTAAAGGCAGAATTGAGGGAGAAAGGCTTTGATTTGCCGTTGATTTGATTTAGAGGACAATTACACAGAGAATTCAGTGAGGAGCATTTGTCACCTTCTTATAGTAGAAAAACAAAGATTGGAAAGAAATGATGCTTTATTCTTTTGTCATAGAGTAGCTAAAATACAAAATACAATATGAAATTACATTTGTATAGCGGCTTTCATATCAGGGGGGCGTTCCAAGGCACTGGACAGTCAGGGATTTGGACCTGAGCAGTGGGGGGGGGGGGGGGAGCTTGGGATCAGGAAGGGTGAAGGGCAGGAATGGTGCCCGAAAGCTCGGTCAAAGATGAGGGTTTTGAAATGTATCTTGAAGGAGGCGAGGGAGGGAGCGAGGCAAAGGGTTTGTGGGATGCAGTTTCAAAGGGTGGGGGCAGAGTGGCTGAAGGCTCAACCGCCGATGGTGGGGTGGGGTGGGCCGAGCGGGGGACGTGAAGCAGGCCAGAGCCTGCTGAGGGGAGGGAGTGGACAGATTGATATGGGATTAGCAGGTCATAAAGGTCGGAAGGAGCAAGGCCATGGCGGGCCTTGAAGGCATGGATAAAGATTTTGAACTCTATCCTCTGGGGGTTGGGGAGGCAGTGGAGTCAGGTGGTGGTGATAGAGTCACGGAGCCCAGTGCAGGAGAGAGCACGAGCTAAAGAGTTCTGGATGATCTGCAGCTTTTGGAGATAACAGTTGGGAGTTGGGTAGTCGAGCCTAGAGGTGAAGAATGCATGAATGAGGGTTTCGGTGGCCTGACGGGTGAGACAGTGGCAGAGCCGGGCGATGTGGTTGAGGTGAGGGAAGGCCGAGCAGGTCAGGACACGGATATGGGGTAGAAAGGACAGTTGAGGGTCAAACCGGACCCCAAGGTTCTGGACTGGCTTAGTAAGGTGGAGTGTGTAACCATGGACGGTGATGCTGTCAACGCCTGAGGTGAGGAGGCGTTGACGGGAGCCAATCAGGAGAGCCTCGGACTTGGTGACGTTCAACTGGAGAAACGTAGCTCTCATCCAGGACTTGATGTCTAACAGATATTCTGTCAGTCAGACATCAAGTAACACTGATGACAGAAACAGAGACACTGACTGACAGAAATAGTAACAAGTGATATCTGCAATGATATTTAATCAGTGTGGCTGTGAGGTTTGAAAGTTTTACTCAAATTATGCCCTTCACTTGAGCTGCTTTGAAAGGTAATTTGAAATGACAATTATGGGAACACAAAACCTCTCCTTTTCCAAGTTCACAACACAAATCATTTTGATGTATGTACAAAAAGTGGCAGTGGAAGCCAATTTTAATGTTTTACCTGAAGTTCCCTTAGGACAAATGATACACAACTTTTCTCCTTCTTGAAAAGGCTAAGATCTGCGTATCATTTATTATCCTAATGGTGCTTCATGGAAATAATACACCCCTGTCACGAAAACAATTCCTCTTTAAGTATAATTATTAAGTAGTATGCATCCGGTTTATGGTACCAGCAATAACAACTTGCATTTATATAATGCCTGTGCGTCTCGGAACGCTCAACAATTGCAGAGCCTGTCGCTGACCAGGAAGAGAGTGGGAGGTTGGTGTTCTTTTCACAGAGTGTAGTGAGAATGTAGAATTCAGTGCCAGAAGCTGTGGTTGAAAGAAAAAGCATCAACGTATCTAAGAGGAAACATGGTGAGTGCATGAGAGAGAGAGAAATGGAAGGACATGGGAAAGGGCTGAGGGAGAGCTCAGGTGAATTATAAGCACCTCTTAGACTGTTTCTTGGAACTCTATCCCCCAGTGCCTTCGCCGCTTCCTCCCTTTCCTCCTTCAAGGCCGGACTCAAGACCTTTCTCTTCGACCGTGCCTTCAGCTCCCCTCTCGACTCTCTACCCCCTCCTCGCCCCCTCCCTCCCTCCCCTCACCCTGACCATTTCCCCCCTGCTCGGGTCCCGACCCAACTGTCCAGCGCCGTGGGACGTCCTCCCGACGTGAAAGGCGCTCTATAAATGAAATCTTGTTGTTGTTTCTGTGCTGTATCACTCTATGTAACTCTATGTAAATTGCAGACAGCATGTCCACAAGTAAACATCAATACTGGACACAGTCAAATAAACCATGAGCAATAAAGACGCAGGATTTTATGACACAAGACCTTCAGAATGTAGAACCCTATTGGCACACTGGTTCTTTTTCATGTTTCAAAACTCAAAATAATTTAGTTGCTGAAAGAGCAGTCATAGATAGACCTGCAATGCAGATGCATTCGAAATGATTTAACTGTGGTGCAGATTATTCTGTATGGTATCTCTGTCTGTAACCCCCTACCAACCCACACATTCCCTCCGCTCAGCCGGCTCCGGACTGCTCCATATCCCCTGACCCACCCTCCCCACCATTGGCGGGAGAGCCTTCAGCCACTCTGCCCCCAATCTCTGGAATTCCATCCCCCAATCACTCCGCCTCACCCCCTCCTTATGCTCCTTCAAGTCCCACCTCAAGACCCTCCTCTTCAACCATGCCATCGGCCACCCCCCTTCCCCTTCCCTCCCTTCTCCTCCCCTGCCCCCGGCTCGGGTCTGAAATGCTGTACACTGTCCAGTGCCTTGGGACGTCCTCCCAACGTGAAAGGCGCTATACAAATGTAATCTTCTTGCTGTTGTTGTTTTCCGGTAGTATGTAATTTTTTGTGTCAACAGTGAAGCTCACAGTCTCTTATATTAAAGACTAGGTCTACCCATACATTGGTATTTTTGGTGGGAAAAGGTTCATTTCTCTTTATCTTCTTCAAATATTTGTGAGGGGGGCACTTCATTTTCTTCAACTTTTTGTCTAAATTCTTCGACCTGGGGTAAATTCCCAGGCTCTTAGTTTTCATCAGCAGGGGTTCCAGTGTTGCATTGTCTCTCAAATGTTTGGGAATAGTGTTTGGAGTAAAGCTTGGATTTGAGGCTGAAGTCACTGCTGTAGCTGGAAGTGTTGTTGTGGTAGGTGTCTCACTAGCTTTGAAGTTTCCTGGGGGCATTTAGTGAATCTGTGCAGTAGGTTTAATAAATCCTACAGGACAGATTTCAATATTTGATGTGCAAATCATATTCAGCTGGTTGTATTCTGACAACATAATCCTCACATAATTCCAAAGATTCAATAATAGTTATTACAGATATTCATCATATTTGACTTAAATCACCCCCAAAAACATGACAGTTGCTCGCACACTTGCAGTGCTAAATAATTAAGGAAAGCTGTATGAAGACAGAAACTAATCTCAAATAATCAGTGACAGGTGGATAACTTGGAGGAGTTCAAACACTGGTTAGATGTTCGAAGCCTACTGCACATGCAAAGTTTCACACACAATGATTACTGTTCAGCCAACATTCCCATTGTCCATCAGCTACTTCAGAGAACAAGCTCCTGATGGTACTTTGCAAAGAGCTGTGCGGATTACATGGTGGAACAAGTTAACAACAACAACAACAAAACTACGTTTGTATAGTGTCCTTCACGTCAGGAGGACGAAACAAAAAGCAACGAATCAGAGAATGCGCTAAAGTTCCTCTGCATCAATTCTGCAAGATTATTTGTATTATTTGCTTCAAGACAGCTCCTTTCTTTGATCTTGAGTATGTCAGCCTGGCTCAGTTGGTAGCACTCTCGCCTTTGAGTCACAAGGTTGTGTGTTCAAGCTTCAAGTCAAGACTTGGAATTCACATAGTCGAAGGTGACATTCCACTGCAGTGCTGAGGGTGTGCTGCATTGTTGGAGGTGCCGTCATGTCATTCAGTTGAGATATTAAACCAAGGTTGCCTCACTTGCCCAAAAAAACACAGTCACTTCACTTTACAGTATATCCTGTGAAGCGCTTGAAGATGTCCACCCAATGTCAAAGGTGCTATACCAAATGTAAGGATTGTAGTAATTTATTATTATTATTTTCTTCTGAAAGACAATGCTTTTTAATCTGAATTCAATTGAAATTCAGACGAGATTGAAACAAAACCGCCTGTTATAAATCTGAAGCTGAATCTGAATGAAACAAACTGCCTGTAGCTGCAGCTCACTTATTCCTAGCAGCTCACATGCTTGAGGGTTTGACTGTCAGCAGAAGCCCAAGGCTGCCTGTCGCTCCAAACACTTTGCATCAACCGGATGAATGTTGTCAGTTCTGAGCTGTGTCCCTGGTTAGAGCAGCAGCACGCAGAGCCGAGAC